ATTCGGCGTACCGTTCTTCATCTTGGTCAGGCCCTGATATCGGATGGTGCCTGATAGTAAGTAGTCCATCATCTGCGGAAATACTCCAACCTTAGTCAATGCATCCATCACCATCAATTCCGTAGGCCAACGATACATTCTGCGAGCTCTTCCTGAAAGCCTGTCATCACGAAGTGAAAGAATCGATTGCCTCTGCGTCTTGTCAACTGGTATTCTCTTCATGACTGTTACCAACTGAAATAAATCATAGCAGTCTGTGATCAAGTCGATGGGTATCACTGTTTTTTTCCTGAGTCCTGCATCATCATGAGTCCAGTAAGAGCATATTTGAAATTCTTTTCGATCCAAGGCCTCATCAATATCTCCGTGTATCTCAATGCTGTGTACTGTGCTGCTTGAGAGCCTCCAGCTGCTGCCACTGTCTCTGCATGACTTGTAGAATATGACACTCGTTTGGACTTCCGTGGCTGACCAACAAGAGGATGTGCGGAACCAAATAGATGTTTATAATTCTCTTTACAAATAATATCATAATTGTCCTTCATCACGGGTCTATATTCCATGAGAAACAATCCTTGTGCTTCAGGTGCATATGATCTCGTACGAGTAGCATGCGCTGCGTCGTTGATGCTCACGAGTCTGAAGGGGCCCTGCATCTTCTTGAAGTACAATCCTGCTGATTTCCGGTTCTTCTTCGCCTTCTCAAGAACTCCTTTGAGAGCCTTGAAATCTCCTATCGTCGGGCATGTCAGCTTCGTCTGCAACTGAGTCGTACCTGCTCTCACATCCCAACGTGTTTGAAGAAGGTGTAATAATTGACAACAGAGGGAATGAAATCGATGTTGCTCATCAGGTGTACACTGTAGATGATCGTCCTTGGCTCTGTCCTTGTCGATGCTCGGCGATTCGATGGTGTCCAAGTAGGCGCCCTGGCTGAGGAAGATCGTGCCATTCAATACCCGCGTATATTCTATTCCAAGATGAGTGAACGGCATCGTTTTACGTGTAATATTGCTGAATTTCTTCTCGCACGCGCCCACTCTAGCCAGTCCTTCTTACCCGTCGGGAACAAAGCATCAACATGTACTGTTGTGGCCAACTGTAATTTGTCTGTCTGAGCATGATGCCATACGAAACAGTTCTCGTCCAATCGTGTCCTTTTGCCGCTCATGTTGTCCTTTATGTGAAGAGTAAGTGCTGCCTGCCACAATAGAGGTGCATCAATGAGTCCGGGTACTGGCTTCACACATTCAAGAACATACAAATGCATCTGATCATCTGGAATCGCTGCAGACTCCTTGGAAAGCTTCTTCAGATGACGCCAGACGTTGGCCGGTGGAACAATGTATGCTTCACGCTCTTGTCGTACATCCAGTCCAAATTCTTTCGAACGTTCTGCGAGTTCCCTGAAACGAAGTCCTTGAAGGAAAGCTGAGGAGATGTCCCAGCTCTCCAGCTCGAAGTCGGGCTCGCACTGACAGATGGATACCATCATACGCTGCGATACTCGTGCTTCCGTCGATGAATGTCTATCCACTGCCCATTTCTGATTGTCCAGAAAACCACGACCACACAAGCGAGAGCGCATTACCCATTTTTCTTTCCACATCCAACGTCTAACCCACGTAGCGTCGATGAAGTTCTCATTGTTGCACTCAGACTTCAGCTTGGGCTTGAAGCACTCGTGCATTGCGTAGTTCTCGATCTCCTTGAGGTCCGCCTGCTCGATCTGTGGCCATAAGTTGCCAAACTCTGATTCCTGTATTAGCATTTCTCCTTGGGAAGCATATGCCTCCACCATTTCGTGCTCAAGCAAATCCACATAGAAACATCTCGAAGGTGAAGATGTGTCGTTCGTCTTGGCGATGCAGCGCGACTCTGAACCCTGCCACGGTTCTGCTGCTGCATGATGATGAGTACTATCAATGTCTGTGATAACTGCGTCCTTGTAATCAATCCATGTGATGTCCATGAAAAGAGAGTCAAGTCCTTTTGCCGGTGTCACAATCGATCTCTCGGAAGACCATGTTCGAAAATTTGTGTACAACTCCTCAGCATCTGCTAGTGGCATGAGTGACTGTTGTTCTTCCGCAGCTGGTTCTTGACCATCTCCAGACGGTTCGTCTTCCAGCAACTCCTCTAGGTTCTGTGTCAAGTTGCGGTCCTCATTCTCATCTGCGTTGTTCACCTCGCCATGGCTGCTATCTTGAGCCGAGATTGCTTGATCAACATCAGGAAGAGCGATATGTTCTCCATCACCTGGTCGAGCATGCTTCCTCTCATGTCCAAGATCAATGATGCTGTCATCCAGACGAGAGGTATCATATCTCGTCCGTTTGACAATCGAGGGAGCCACTTGCTG